TAGTGACGGAGGTCGGGGAAAGTGAACTCAGATCTCGGCGGTGATGGAAAGAGGGAGACGAGGGAGATCGGCGGTGATGGGATGATGGAGATCGGCGAAGGGTTTTAGAGAGAGAGAGAGAGAGAGAGAGAGAGAGAGAGAGATGAGAGGCGGTAATGAGTGAGTGTGAGGTGCACAGTGCTGTGTGAGTGAAAGGGTTGGTTTATATATATAGAGGGGTAAAATAGTAATTTTACTTCGGGGAAATTCGGGGACGGGGACTGGGCTAGGGCCGGGGCCGGGGCTTGAACACTGATCATCGTCCCCGGCCCAAAACTAATCGGGGATTTAATTTCGAATACCATCCCCGTCCCCACAGGGGTATTTTTCGGGAAAAAATCATTCTAATCGGGGTTGGGGGATTGGGTCCCCATCGGGTCGTGTTCAAATTGCCATTCCTAAGTAGCCTGCAAAATGTGAGCCAGAAAATTGAGAAAAAGACAGAGAGAAGGGCCTGCCAAGTTTCACATAACCTTTTATATTATGGGTAAGTTTTATGAAGTTTATACAATGTGATTATACTTGGCCCCTCCAATTTTCTTATATTATTATTTATGTACTATATTTAAATGCACCTAATCTCGTGAAAGGATTTTTTTACTATAAAATAATTAAGTATTTCTTTTTCTTATTGTGATTATGTTATAAACATTAAAATATTACAAATTATTGTGGTGAGAAAAATTATGAACCATTGTGGTTTTATAACAAATAATTGTGATTTAGTTTTAAAAAATTGTATGACATACACGTTTTACACTGTGAAAATGCTAATTGTTGTTAGTGTTGAAGAAGAGTGTAAAAATTGTATTGAATTTTCTGATATGTTAAAAAACAAAAAGATTTTTGGGATATGTGAAAATAGTATTGGGATTACAATGTTTTAGCATTTTGTGGTACTTAATTTAGCAGGACCATAGTTCTAAATATCGGCCGATACGGTACGTGCTGGCCGATTCGTACTGGAAAATCATATCACTGATTCGGATATCAACCGGTATACCTGTGAGAATGAAATTCACAGCCGTACCGTCCGAGTCCCAGTACGTAGCGGCTTGAATCCGATACATGCAACGATACAGTCCGATACAGATTTGTTGTGTTGTTGTTGTACTCTGTTTTTGTTGTTATTGTTGTGCTCTGTTTCTGGTCTCCTTTTCATTTTTTTTTTTTTTTTTTTTTTTTTTTGTCGTCGATCTAAAGCAGAAATGTTTGTCTGGGTTGGCAGGATTCTGCAGCTTTCGGTCAACATTTTTACACAGAGAGAGAGAGAGAGGGGATAGGTGGTATGAGTGTCTTGCTTCTGGTCAGCGTCTTGCAGTCTTGTATTATGGTATGGGTGTCTAAGGTTGGAATGGATAAGAAGAGAAAGATAATTAGGTACATGGAGGTGCATTGGGAGTATGAGATTGAAATGGATAGGAAGGGAGAGGTACTTAGGTACATAGAGGTGTGTGTGTTTATGGTGGATTTGTAGATTGTAATTGTTAGATTTTTTTTTTCTTCTATTTATTTGTTTATACACCTACACCTCTATTTATATTAATATATATATATATATATATATTCTCAGTACATGAAAAATAAATAATCAAACTAATTTTTTTATTAAAAGTTTAACATATGTCAAAAAAAAGTTTGAGACTAAAAAAATACATATCATTTAGTTGAAAATGAGTTAAAAATGCTCCTACATATCGAAATATTGATTAAAATGTAACAAATTAAGGTTAAAAGAGTCAAAAAAAATGCATAAAATTTAGTTTTAGAGGGATTGTTAATGATTTTTAAAATTTCACGGTCGTGACACCTGATTCCCGATTTGTATCGGCCGATACTACCGATACCGATACTCCGCGATCGATACCGTTACGTTACCTGATACCACGATTTAGAACTATGAGCAAGACCCTTCATATTGAATAATTAATAAAAAAAAGAGGAGAGAAGAGAGGCACCGATATGAGAGAGAGAGAGAGAGAGAGAGAGAGAACCAAGGATCCCTGCCTGTTCTTTTAATATTTATTCTCATGTAAAAGATTATGATTGTCACGCCCTCATATTTACAACACAAAGCATCCATCCATGAGATCCATAATCATAAAGGAAACATTATATTTCATTTATCAGAGTGTTCTATACAAAGGGTAGTACATGTTAATCAACAAAATGGATGCCCTACGGGCTTACAACTTTCCAAGTATAACTTGGTTACAATAAAAGAGGGTCAGAAGCCCTTTACAATTTAAATCCCTCGGCTTGGAAAGAAAGAAAAAAAAACATATAAACATAAAATAAAATAGCAAAACAGAGACTTCAGTCCCAAGACCTCCCAAGCTATGACCTTGGAGGCGGCATATCACCTGAACCTGAAAATGGTGTCCCAAGTACGGTGAGCCAAAGCACAGTAGAGATATGTTAAACAGTATATGAGAATTAACTAAAACATAAGCATTTGATAAATGTTTAACACTTGTAAACCAACTTATACCATTTCCATAACCAATCAACATTTTCATCATATTCAATTCACTTTCCATTATTTATCCCAATCAATTCATTGACATAGTCCAATATCATTCAAACAGTTTAAAATGAGACTACAACTCATATAAAAACACTTCAATAACAAGCATCATTCAACACTTTATTCACATGCCATTTTACGGAACTACGTCTGAAGGAACCGGCACCCATAAATAAATAAGATTTCGGGTCTTTCACTTTGGACACTTCGGCCAACTTAATTATCAATGAAGTCCATCCCCTATCTCCTCCCAAACAATGAAGTACATCTTCTATCTCCTCACACACAATATACATATACAATGTATTTAAACACGTAGTCATATACAATGACCCAACAATTCACATACTCAATGTTTGTACTCATCCGTCATATTCAATGACATATTCCAACTGATTAGTTTCAATTTACATAATCATCATGCAGTTTCTACAACAATCAAGACTATCCTCCACCGATAGCCCAAGACAGATATTTCTAAACAGATAAATAATTTTATCAAACAGATAATTTATTAACTTTTCCATAGGTGAGTGATTTATCGATCCAACTACACTTTTTAATCACATTTTCTTTCAATTTCATGATTCTTAAACCAATTTCATATTTCCACAATTCTCTTCATTATTTAAACAAATAATCCATTTGTTTCCAGTTAGGGCTTTTTTTCCCCTTTATCAAATATTGCACCTAAGGCCAAATTTTACCAATTATACACACATAACCCCATTTCAAGACCTCACATACACAATGGAGCCCAAAAATAGAAAACCCCTATTTCATAATTTCAAACTCAAAACCCTAAGTTTCACCAAACCTCCCATATCCCACCATTTATACAAATGACCAACATTTATGTTAAAATTCATAATAAAGAGTAGTTTATCCCTACCGCAAAGTTAGGAGCTCAAAGGAGAAGAAGAAGAAACTTGAAAGTGCTCCAAATCTAAACTTCTTCGGATCAATAGCTAGCCCACGCCAAGCTCTAACCTTTTTACAAAGGGACCAAGGTAGAGAACCTCTAAAGCAAGGTGTATTTGTAGAGAGAGAGAGAGAAAGAGTTTAGAGAGAGAGGCAACCGGATTTAGGGTTTGGAATGAAAAGGGGATGAACAGGTGATGTGAAACCCGCTACTGCGAACTGATATATACGAGGCTCGCTCGAGCGAACAATGCAAAACTTCAAGTCTACTACCACTCAGACGCACGCTCGAGCGCAAGAGTTCTTGCTCGAGCGAAGGAACACAAAACATAGGGCTGGCTGGCTGGCTCGCTCAAGCACAAGAAAGCTCGCTCGAGTGAAGAATACCAACCTTCAGGTCTTTCAGAGATGCAGACGCACGCTTGAGCGCAAGAGTGCTCGCTCAAGCGAAAAGACACAAGACACAAGGCTCACTCGAGCATAAGAATCCTCGCTCGAGCGAAGAAGCAAATACCGAAGGCTCGCTCGAGCGCAAAAAGCCTCGCTCGAGCGAAGAAGCCAAAACTTAGGCAGCAACCATTTGTTTCAACTCACAACCAACCTGTTCCAAATTTACCCAGCACATCCCAAAATTTAATACAAGGAATTAAAGGATGGAAACAAGATATAGAGAACAACAACCAACCATGGAACCCGAGTTCGGAATACAATAAACAAAAGGGAAAAACTGGGATCGCTATAATGATAATACCATTCTTACTAATAACCAAAACATATATTATGGTGCTTCATTGAAGTTCAAGTTGCTAGAATACATTTAGATTGTTCTCATTATGTCATAGCTTATCTATCAAGTGATTTATTCGTTTTAATAATTATTTAATTCGAATCCTGGCTTAGAGAGAAAGAGAGTTGTGGCGTGTGGTTCTTTGGGAGTTTGTAAGCAACACATTGACAGAAAGATTAGCAGAGAGAAATAAAAGTTGTATGGAAAGTGAGACATTTGATGAGCTTTTTGTTGACGTAGTTGTAATTTCAGGATTTATTGTCATAAAAATAAACAGGAAGACAAAAGTTACTAATAATTATCTATATTTTAGCTCGTCATATTTAAGCTTATTGAATCAACTATTTGTAGAATTCAAAAATTAAAACCAGTAAATCTGCCAGCTTGTGATTGGTTGAGTCAACCACAAAATGCCATGGGCTACCTTTTGTACTTTTAATTATCTGGTTAACACATATATACCATGAGTTTGTGAATAAATTTTTTGTAAAACTACAAAGACTTAAATCAGTAGAATTATCTGCTACTGATTGGTTGATTGTGAACCATGATGGGACACAAAAGAACACAAAGGCGCCAGTGCTATAGAATCAAATATAGGTTGATTTTAGAAAATCTAAGAAAAAAATTGATGGCATTTTTTTTTCTTGGAAGTTCTTTTGTGATTTTATTTTGGAAGACCTAATCATAATCTAGAACGTATATGATCTTATTCTGTTATCTTACAGGACAATGAGGACTTTATGGAATACCCGAGTGAGTCCAAATGTTATATATTCTATGCATCACTTGCGAAGTGACAAATCAACATTAGTTGTGGGTGGAATAGATGGTGTGTTACGATTCTTGGAGCAGGACTCAGGTGAGGCTTTTTCAAGGTGCATTATGAATGAAAGCAGCAGCAGCATATCAAACTCCTCGAGAGATTCATATGGAGTCGTCCAAGTAAAGAAAGCAAGAAGGCTCTCAGAAGACACTCACATTGATCTCATTCCTAGAACTTCTCAACCTTCTGTAAGATGCTTGGCTGTTGGAATGCAAAAGGTCGTCACAACACACAATGAAAGATATATCAGAATATGGAAATTCAACAGATAACTGAATGTTTCTTTTCTAAAGCAGATATTTTGATCTTTGAAGTATTCAACAAAATATGGGTATAACAAAAAAATAGGCTCTGACATTGTAGAAGCATGATGGTTTCCACAATATCAAAAGTGATTGTTAGTTTTCCAATTAGTTTGATGTATTTCATATTTATGTGTGTTGTACTCTTATCTATGCATTATGGTCTTTTCAACACTAGGGCCCCGTTTGTTTTGGGGTGTAATAGATGGGAGGGGATTATGATAGAGATGGAGTTATTTAGTATTGTGTTTGTCTGTAGAGTTGGGGAAGGGATTATGATGGAAGAGGGGATTAAGATGGAGGTTGGAAGGGGGATTGAGATACAGGAGGTGGAGGTGGTATTAAAAAAATAGTGAGGGGATTAGAAATTTTTTTTATTTTTTATATATTAGGAATTTTTTTTAAATATTAATGTTTAATTTTTTATATTTTTTTATTTGTTTTATTATTTTATATATAAATAATTTAACAATTCCTACATTAACAACTATCATCAAAACAAACACAATTTTACTTAATCCCCTCACTATCAATCCCTTCTATTCTACCTCTGAAAACAAACGGGGCCCTAAATCAATAAAATTCAGATTATTCATCTTGCCTTCAAGGCATTAGGGGGAGGTGTAGCTTTAATTTTTTATATATTTTTATTTGTTTTATGATTTTATATATAAATAATTTAACAATTCCTATATTAACAACTATCATCAAAACAAACACAATTTTACTTAATCCCCTCACTATCAATCCCTTCTATTCTACCTCTGAAAACAAACGGGGCCCTAAATCAATAAAATTCAGATTATTCATCTTGCCTTCAAGGCATTAGAAGGAGGTGTAGCTTAGTGATTTCTTCAAGAATGAATTGTTTATACAGCTTTTGTCACAATTCATGGTAAGTGAATAAATGTCTTTCTATTTCATTCCATCAATTGACTCAATTGTTTTTTGCATTGGATCTCTTTGGTTGGAATACAAAGTACTTTTCTTTTGAGGCATTATTTCATATTTTGATTGTTGCTAATAGTTGTGTGGCCTGGAACCTGTATTTATTCACCAGTTATCAGCCATGGAGAAATTAGTTCGATTTGAAATGCTCTCCTCTTGGGCTGAGCATTCATTCTTGATCAAAATAGCAAATAAAGATGTGCTTCAGTCATTTCCCGATGAGGCAGCTGCTTCTATTTGCTGTTATATATTGCTTCAATTGTTTTTGGTAGTGAATTGAATCCTTGAGTGTCAAGGTTATTTCATACGAAGACCCCTTCAACTATTAGCTAATGTTACTTTATTTTCTCATGTATGAATCTATATATTTTGACCCATTCAATTATAAAAATATTTCATTTTCAGCCCCAGTAGACTCGTTCTAGATCATCTTCAAAAGGGTTATATTTGTAAGATTTTCATGGTTGTAGAGTGGTTCATCTACACTAATTTTGCAACTCTAAGAACTCAATTGAAATTTGCAGTTAGTTGTAAATTTTCACTAACTATAATGAAAAATTCATTGACGTTTAGGCATAAATAAATGTTCAATTGATTCATTGTTTGAGGATAGCAATTTCTGTAAAAATTATATATATATATTTTTTTAAAAAAAAAGAAGAAAAAAGAGGCCCATGTACCCCAATTTTGCAACTCTAAGAACTCAATTGAAATTTGCAGTCAGTTGTAAAATTTCACTAACTATAACGAAAAATTCACTGACGTTTAGACATAAATAATGTTTAACTGATTCATTGTTTGAGGATAGCAATTTCTGTAAAAATTATTTTTTTTTGAAAAAAAAGAATGGTCCATGTACACCAATTTTGCAACTCTAAGAACTCAATTGAAATTTGCTTGTAAAATTTCACTAACTATAATGAAAAATTCACTTACGTTTAGGCATAAATAATGTTCAACTAATTCATAATTTGAGGATAGCAATTTTTTGTAAACATTATATGTTCAAAAAAAAAAAGAAGAAGAAGAGTGGTTCATGTATACCAATTTTGCAACTCTAAGAACTCAATTGAAATTTGCCGTCAGCATAATGAAAAATTTACTGGCGTTCAGGCATAAATAGGCTCATTATTTGAGGATAACAATTCTGTAACAATTGCGTATTTTTTAAATAAAAAAATTATATTCATTGTAAGTTAAAAATTTCTAAAATAGACTCATTATATTCATTGACGGTTAATTTCTAAAATAGCAGACTTATGAAAAACTTAAATTTGAATAAAAAAGTTATTAATTTTCAACAAAAACACATTTTAGTGACACCATACTAGTGGCATGTTCTTAAAAAATGTCACAAAAAGAATATTTTGTGGCATCTTTTAGAAAAATGTCATAGAGCCACAAACATACAAGGTTCTAGTGGCATTTCAATTAAAAAAAGTGTCACTTCATTACAACAAAAATGTCACTACAACAAATTTACACTTTAGTGACACTACACTTGTGACATGTTTTTAGAAAATGCCACAAAAATAAAAATTGGCATTAAATATTTTAGAAAAATGCCACAGAACCACACACATATAAGGCTCTAGTGGCATTTCAATAAAGAAATGTCATATTAATTTTATGACATTTTATAAAATAATGACACAAAATTCTGTTTGTGACATTTATCAACAGATGCCATTAAACTTTAGTCGCAATGGCATTTTTTTAAAAATGTCATGACACTAGGTAGGTGCAAATTACTTTTTATGGTACTTAGGTGAAAAGTGTCATAAACAAATATTTTATAGCATTTTGAGAAATGCCACTAAGACAAAAACTTTCCAAGCTTATAATGGTATTTTTGAAAAAACAAAAAATGCCAATATATTTTCTAAAATTTTAAAATGCAATAAATGATTAAAAATAAATAAATTAAACTCAATATACACTACAGGAAAAAAGGATATTCGGCGACTAAATTTCCTGACCAAAAAAAATTTGGTCGCTGAAAGTATAGCTTTCAGCAACCAAAACAGCATTAGTTGCCAAAAGTAAAGTTTTTTGGCGACTAAACAATTTTAGTAGCCAAAAGTTTACAATTGGCGACTAAAACTAAGTTTATTGGTCACTGATTATATGGGTTTTAGTGACTAAAAATTTTTTAGTAGCCCAAAATAAAGCTTTTTGGCGACAAAAAAAATTTAGTAGCCAAAAGTCTACAATTGGCAACTAAAAATAAGTTTGATCGCTGCTTATATGGGTTTTGCCGACTAAAAAAAATATTAGTAGCCAAAAATAAAGCTTTTTGGTGCCAAAAAAAAGTTTAGTAGCCAAAAGTCTACAATTAGCGACTAAAAAATAAGTTTAGTCGCCAAAGGTGGTCATTGTTAGCGTGGGAGAACTAAAATCCTAAGGCGGGAATTAAATTTTTTGGCAACCAAAATTTTGGTAGTTGAAAGTGCATCTTCGACGACCAAATCCGATTTTGGTTGGCAAAAGTTAAGTTTTTTAGCAACTAAAAAAAAAAAGTAGCCAAAAGTATAGAATTGGCCACTAAAAATCCAAAAGTGATCTTTTTTTATTTTTGCTAGTAAATAGTTTATTTTAAATAAATTATGTTCAATAAAATAATTATGTTTATACATATACTTTTATATTAATATGGATGTATGTACTATATAAATAATATATGTTGCATATATAATAATATGGTGCTATAGAGGTGTAGTGGGAAGAGTGTGGTGTATAAGGTTTATGGTGCGGAAGGTTGGCAGTTCGAGTCTCCGCAAGAGCGGATCAAATTATTCTACAACGAATTATTGTCATGAATGGCACCTTGATAGCGTCACGAATAGTGCCTACCATGACATTAAAGTGTCACTGAAAGGTTTTAGTCTTAATGGTGTAATGACACTTATAAGTGTCACTAACTCTTTTTTTAATGGCGCTTGATAGTGCCACAAATAATATCTACCATGACATCAAAATATCATTGAAAGTTTTTAGCTATGATGGTGTAGTGGCACTTGCAAGTATCTACCGTGGCACGGATACAAATGGCACTTGTTCAAAATGCCACAAGGCTAAAAAATGTCATTAAACCAATAGTTTTGTGGCATTTTCAAATGTCACTAAACTAAGAAAATATTGTAGTGTAAATTTTCTAAGTTTTCAAAATAATTTAAAAGGAAAAAAGCATTGAAATTTTAGTTATGTCTTAGTGTATTTTGGTTAAAATTTGACCTCTAAAATATTAGACGACTGCAAACTTTGGATAAATTAAACTTTGCTCCCTTATGTTTGACTATTTTTTTCATTTTGGTCATTCATGTTTCAAGATATTTTCTTTTATCAATTTACTTTTAAAGCTAATTTATGTTCAAAATTAAATAAAAAATATCATGTTAGTTGTCATATGATATAAAAAATCTATTATTATAACATAATGTTATACATAACGCATTTCTTATTTTCTCACTTTTAGATACAAAGCAATAGGACCCATATTCATAAATGTGTAAGGGAACCACCCACTTGCATTTTTCATTGAGAAAATGAGGTAAAAAATATGATTATATGTAGTATTTTTATTATATTGGGTTTGGATTTGTGTTAAAGGTGTAAGTGAAAAGAAACAGAATGATCTTCATTTCATACAATAACAACTTGATTACAAGGATTTATACAAGTGGGTAAGAGTTTGTTATAACAAACTCTTAACTAACTATAGCTACCTCTCTGTAACTAACTATATCTAAATGTCTAAGCTAACCAATTCCACTAGTTCTGTTTTCATTAGTATAAGGACTACTGCTGTTGTTGTGAGCTTGGGCTGGAGGGCTGCTCTGCAATCTGTTTGTGAGCTGTAGAGTGAGCTCTGGAACTTACACTTTTATCATGCCCCTGCAAACAGATGGGGCGTGGAAGCACCAGAAGTTTGGCTTTGAGATAGTGAAATCTGGCGGAAGTTAAAGGTTTAGTGAAGATATCAGCGACCTGGTCAGAGGTAGGGATGTAAGCAAGAGAAAGGTGCTTGGAAGCAACACGCTCACGAATA